TTGCTTTTTGTCACTACTTTTTTTTTAAATTATGAGATGGCACACAAACAAGACACCTAAAGCGACCGTTGCCCATAGACGTCTGCAATTGCAGATGCCTACCTTTAGGAGACGCACAGAAAGAGATTTTCCCTTTATATTCGTTCTCTTTATCAAATCCGTTTCCTAACATTTCCTAATAAGAACACTGTTAGTCGTAAGAGGAGTAAAATGAGTCCTCTGGCACACACACTTACCAGACTGTACGTGGAACTGCTGCCACTTGACGCGTGTTGTGTGGTCATGGTATTGCAGTAGACAAGGGTCATTCGTATAACAGATGTTCTACCTGTAATAATTAAACAAAATTGTGGGTTACTTATGCATATTTTTTTTTCCTTATTTCTACGGCTTAACTCAACACTTTTTTATATTACGGGTAGTTGTACCACCATAGTTAAACACCTAGAAATCTAAATAAGTAATTAAAACAAGACGTTTCAAAAGAAAGCTTCTGTATTATAGCAAACGCCGCGGGACATGACCATTCTTAGAATGACAAGTGAGCCATTTTCTGTAGAAGCGTGACAAACAGACAAAACATTCTTTTGTCTTGTCACCTGCTGCGTGTCGGATTTCATAATGTGACGTAAGCGTTTTGTTTATAAACTGACGAAATATACTATTATACTTCTTATTTCTACGGATAAGTCATTTTTGATTCAGGGGAATACGGATCGGATCACCTCGCTCAAAATCGGGGTCAAGCAGTTTCCGTTATAGGTCAGAATGGACCGAATTTAACCGCGAAAAAACATAACCGTAATCATTAGTAGTAGACACCAGCAAAATACATCTGTTGCAAAAATACCACGACCACACAGAAGACACTCCTCAAGTGGAAGCAATTTTAATATAGTCTAATGAGTAAGTGTACCGGAAGCCTAATTTTAGAGTTTTCTCTTCCCACCCTTAAATTATTAGAAAAGAATGGGAAGTGGAAGTGTATTTGACAGAAGACGCATAAGAAGGGGAAATATTCATTTTCAATGCGATTAAAGGTAGACAATGCATCGGCCTAGGGGCAACGGTCGTTTCTTTTCGGCGTACCTAAGTCGCAGCTTGCTTGCTTGCTATTAATTAATATAAAAAATTACCTTACTCATTAGTCTACTATTACTTCTATCGAGAAAGTATAATATAATATTACGAAGTTTCTTTATATATCTCGTTTATCATTATCGACATTTAAAGAAAAACTCCATCACTGTACGTTTAAAGTTGACAGTTCTCAAAAAGTGTAGCCAACAAAAAGAAACAAAGATTGAAAGAGGGTACCAACATAAAATTTTAATGATCCTAAAAAAATGTTTAGTTTATGACTTTTTGGGTTCTGTAGATATTTAGTAACATTTTAATATGATTTTAGTTCATTAATCTTATTACCGAAAGTTTAGATGTATGGATGGATGGATGTTTGTTTGTAGGTATCTCCAGAACGGCTGGATGGTTCTCTGCAATTTGGCATACATGTAGAACAGTATGGAAGAACACATAGGCTTCTTAAGTTTTTACATTAATTTCGCGCGGACGACCGTTAGATATATTAACGGTCGTTTGAAAAAAACAAAGAAAGAAATTAAAATTATAAATATTTGTAAAGCATTAATAGAAAGTCATCGTTAAAATACTCACGAAATAAACCGTGATATATTTCCTAAATGTATTCACTTTTTCTCCTAACAACAAAATAATTGTTTTTAATAATTTTCCCGCCAAACCCTGCCTCTAGTTTGGACGTAGTGACAAAAGCGCGCGAGGTGTGAATCCCACTTTGACAGCTCGACAATGCCCATTCTGACAGCTGAATGGCTCTTTTTAAAAACACAAAGGCAAAGGTAGGCAGCCCGTTCGGCTTATTGTTTTTTTTTAATTTAAATTTTACGTCTTAAGCGTGGGATGTTTATTATTTTTTTTTATATTTTTCAATTAAGAAGCTGTAGTGTTGTGATTTTTTATATAATATTTTAATACTGCTTGACTTTGTGGTTTGGTTAAAATTATTAAAAAAATACGCTAGGTTCTTTATAAAAAAAATTGACTAATATTATAAATGCGAATGTTTAGATGGATGTTTGTTAAAAAGTGTCACCAGAACGTCTGTACGGATCTGTCTGAAACTTGGCATAGATGTAGAACAAAGTCTGGAAGAACACATAGGCTACTAAATAAATTTTTTTTTAATAACGCTGATAAAGTCACAGGCGACAGGCAGTACATAAATAAAAATGATACATCCTAAAATATTTAATATTTTATTTAAATGCCGCAGATGGCCTATTACATATAACTCTAAAAGCATACGCGACCTTTCCTTTGTAATAACGATAAAGTATAGCAAAGTACATTAGTGTTCCAGAAACTGAAGTCATGACCCGGGAAGGAATTTACTTATCTTACCTTAATGCACCCGGGATGTTTCTGGCATGTGTAACCGACTTTTAATTCACTAGCAACGAGTCCCGGGAACGCTCGGCTTTTTTGGCTCAAAGGGCATATTGTCAAATAATATCTTTCAAATAAAAAGCGATTATCATCTGTCAAATAACATATAAAACCTACATGGAAATAGAAAATGACATCTGTCCTTATCCCTCTTGGTATAGTGCGTCTATTTAAAATAGATTAGTCTGACAACTGACGCTTATAAAGTATCGAATTAATGACGTATGAGGATTAATGTTGTACTTAATGGACGTTTGTCTTGTGTCGAACTATCGAGAATCGGTCTTGTTATAAAATTAATCCAACAAATGGGTACTGTGATTTAGGTATTTTATAACTTATTAAATTTATTGTAGTTATTTAGCTATGTATCGCACAATTAATTAAAAAAAAATCTTTTTTGTGCGTCAACACTTTTTGATTTAATGTCTTATTTCTTTATGTTTTTATGAAGGATTAAGTAGGAATAGAAAGAAACAAATTTATTTATTTTGTAATTTAAAAACAATAATGCCGAAATTCTCGATTGCAACTTCTATCTAGAAGTACTAACGAAAATTATAAAAAAATCTAAATCGATTTTACTCAACCCATATTTAGTAAATTGTCACATACATTTTGTTATTAAAATTTCCCGCGCAATTCTATTTTCACCTATATTTTTCTTAATTTAAACGTCAAAGATTCGCAGAGGCCAGTATTCCACGTCGCTAATATCTCGGTGTGTTTTTTTTATTTGCACATTTATTCTACCTTCTTACTGTGAAGGAAAACGTTGTGATGCAACCTGCACATATCAGCAAAGAAATTTCAAAGATATATGTGAATTCTCGTAAGATAAAAGATGGCGATGCAGCCATCCGTCACGTTCCGTCTCCCGAAATTCACGATTGCGGGGATACGTTTGGCCAACCCGAACGGAGGACCATGGTTGCCTACCCCTCTTGGTAAAAGGCGTGAGATATGTTTGTGTCTATATTAAACAGATTAGTAAAAAATTATGATTGGCAATTATCTCGTCGTCCATTTTGTTCAACAGGAAGGAGTTTGGTGACATTCTCGAAGTATTATCTAATCAAACCCAATCAGTCTTGATTAAGAATTGTTCATTTGATTGTAGCAATTGACCACCAAGTATACTAACATAAGGACTGCTGTACACGGACAATCAATAACGGCAGTTCACTGGTAGTACGGGACGACCATTTGCAGGCTCTAATGTTTTAAGATTTCCTATTCTTTATAAAATATCTCCAGAACGGTTTTATGAATCAGGATGAAATTTAGTCTAGATTTAAACGGTCATATTGTCTGAAAGAATTCATTGACTGTTATGATCATGAAAATGATAAACGTTCCCGTGGATTTTTTTTTCTTACTAAAATTATAAATGCGAATGTTTAGATGGATGTTTGTTAGAAGATATCTCCAGAACGGTTGAATGGATCTCGCTGAAATTTGACATACATATAGAACATAGTCTGGAAGAACTAAATATGTTTATTACGTATGGAGACGCGGGCGGTAGGCAGTATTAATATGTTATAAACTCGATTACTCTATAACGGTTCAACATATCTTATTGACATTTGGGACAGGTGTAGACCATAGATTTGACAGTTGTTTTTTTCTGGCCGGTGTTTTCCAGCATTAACTTAATTAAGAATAAATGTTGATAGAAAATTTATACATATTGTTGTTTTAAAATTGTATTTTAACGAAAATAATCGAACTTAGGACTGTTTTGGTTGTGTATTACTAAGATATGATGTCATTGTTTAATATAATTGGTACCGAAGCGTCTGTGATACATCCAATTGACCTCAAAGTGTGAATGTAACCTATAATTCTTGATCGAAGATGACACGTTGAAAGTATTGCTCAGTTTATGTTTCTTTATTGTGCTTAAGGGTAGGTACACATCTTGACTGTTGACTTAACGGTTCATTTTATAAATGTCATCATCATCATCAGCTCACGATACGTCCCCACTGAGAGGCTTGGAGCCTACTCTAAGTTAAGGGTGATTAGGCCATAGTCAACCACGCTGGCCAAGTGCGGGTTGACTTCACACATATCTTTGAATTTCTCAGATATGTGCAGTATCACGATGTTTTCCTTCACCGTAAGAATATAGGATAAATGTACATATGTAAATCGGAATTCGAAAAACGAATTGGTACATGGCGGGATTCGAACCCAAGACCTGCAGATTGCAAGTTAAGTGCTTGACTCCTGAGCTACCGACGCTCCTTCGCACGCACGCATAAATGTAGTAGACTGTAAAAATATTTTTATTCAAAGGATATGTGGTAGAGACCAAATCGATTCGTTTACCCTATCTTTATATGCTATAATTCGAAGTATTCCATGGCCGCCATTTTGGCGCTGATTTCAATGGTATTTGAAACTTGAATAAGCCGACAGTAACTTCGACTGATGCTTTTAAGAACAACAAGTTTTAAATGGAAATATTATTCTCTGAAACCCACAGTAAGGGTTGCTTTTGTTTCCAGATGACCTAATTGCTGGTGTGAGGATGCGAGGTGCGGTGCTAAGCGTGCTTTGCGCGTTGAGCGCGGTGCTGCTGGTGCCGGGGATAGCTGCGGTGGGTGCAGGGTCGTGCCCCTGGGCATGCGCGTGCCGGCCCGGCGCGCTCGACTGCGCGCATCGTGGTCTGCTGCACGCGCCCAGGCGACTGCCCAGTGACGCGCATCGATTGTAAGTGATGTTTGAAATCAAGCGAGTATCTTTTTTATGATCGTGTCAATAGTCTAGAATCTATTTTGATTCTAATTTGTTTTTAATTTCTCACCTTATGGATTGTCTATTTTTACAACAAAATGATATTCGATGTCTGCCTTTAAAAATATTGGATACATAATCATTTACATAAATGTAAACCTTATGTCTATGATCATAAAGTAGAAAACGGAACGTACGAAGTGTCCAATTCCCGTGGGATGTTCGGTAATACATTTTACACTATACGGAGGTATGACGTCACTAACAATATTCCCGCGTAATTTACAAAAAAAGAACACGCTTTTGTATCGACTATCAAATAATTGACGTCAACATAAAAGATGAAACAAGCTCTTTTTATCCTTAACACAATGCAAAAGAGTCTATATTTGATTAACGTTGATTTAATAGAATCCCGAACTAGTGTGGTACATTGTACAATTTATAACAATTTCGTCGCGTCAAAAGTCAAGCGATTATGTACTTTATTTTGAAAGTACCAAAGCTTTTATTTAATTAAAGTAGTTTAGCATTTTCGGGGCAAACTGTTTTTCGTTTTTATCAATCGATTTTGTACTTCAATCCTATTTGCTACTAGGTTGATTTTTGTACATGGATAGTTTCAATAGGGATCCTTTGCGGTGGCAATTTCTTTTCATTTTCCACAGGGGACATGTTACGCCAAAGGTTTCGGTTGTAGAGTTTATAATAACATGGAGCGACCGATGCACAAATTAAGAAAAAAAAACTTTGTCAAATGATAGTGTTTTTATACAATTATTCGTTTAGTATGACCATATATTTTTTTTATTAAAGACCTAAAAAAAACTTTTAACAAATGACTAGATTTTTATTACTACAAAAAGAAACATGTATGGATTTTAATGTCTATAATAATTTTCGAATTGTAAAGTCCTTTCTACTTAACATATCTCTGTGGGTACGAGGGAGGGTAAGCCGCAAATATCAAGTGATATCACACAATTACTCCGTCCCTTTGTGCCATAAACGTTTTCTTATGAACACTATAACATTTTTGAAATAATGAAACAGATATTGTATCTTCAAAGAAAATTTTGTTTCTCCACTTTTCCGTGCAAGTGTACTTATATTACATTGAAAAAGATTACTATTCTATTTATTTATATACATAGAAGATTTTTCAAAGTTTAGGAAAGATAGAAAAATAAAATTAAAAAATCTTTTATATGAAAAATCAATTGAGTAGTTTTTGAGTTTATTTTGAACAAACAAACAAAGTTATTCCTTATAATAATAGCATTACTGGCTAATAAATAATTCTAATATTAAAAACAATATCAGTTTAGTAGTTTTTGAGTTTTTTCAAAACTTCATCATCATCAGCTCACTATATGTCCCCACCGAGAGGCTCCGAGCCTACAAGCCTTTCAAAACTTCATCTCTGTATTACTATTAAACAAAGCCAGTGTAAATAAACCTTGTAAGCTAACAATGAGTTAGGCTTGATGCCTTTTAATACCTAGATTATTCAGATTACCCGCAGCACCCTATAAACTACCCCTATCCGTATTACATTCCAACCCTCTTTATTATGCGTGAACAGTTGATCGAATACTAAACTTATATAGATTAATAACTTTGTAACAGAAATAGATGTTTTATGGTAGAAAAGTTTGATTTTTAGTTCTAAATTATTGGTTTTGTTTCCATAATCTTTCTTAAAGCTGTCAATTTTTTCCGCAGTGACGCAATTAGTTTTCTGATTATCGAATTGTTGTATTATTATAATATTTTGGAAATATATTGATTTCTAAATTATGACAATTTTAATTCCTTTATATAAATAAAATCGCCTTTTGGTGTCTTTCTTTTACAAAATGAAAAACTCAAATACTACTAAACTACAGTTTCACTACGGCTTTATATAATGTTCAATTTTTTCTATCAATTAGTTGAACTAAAATTGAGTATGGAAAACAAAAACTGAAATAACCAGGATTGACAACGAAGGAGTAAAAAAAAAACCAAGACGAATTGAAAAATTTTTCGGTTTTGAAGTCGGCTAAATATAGTCAAGAAATAGGCGACATATAAACATTGAATCATGAAAATACTAGTCTTACGAATATTAAAAATGAAAATGTTTAGATGTTGGGATGGTTGGATGTGTCTTTGAAGGTATAGATAGAACGGCTGAAAAGATCTCGATGAAATTTGACATACATATAGAGTCTGGAAGAACACATAGGTTACTAATTAAATTTTTCAAATTCCACGCGAACGGAGTCGCGGGCGAAAGCTTATTCATGAGAAATACTCAAGAAATATATATAAAATGTAAAACTTGTTAGTTTATATAGTAACAAAGTTGCCAGCACCAAAATACAAGGTTTACAAATGTTTGAGTTTCGCGGCACAAAGGAGCGTTGTTGGGCTTTTCTTTCTCTTCCCGAGGGAAAACGAATTTACACGCCGAGAGTAATGACATAGAGTAATACACGGTAGAGACTATGTTTTGTCTATTTAAAATCTTACTAATATTATAAATGCTAATGATTAGATGGATGCTTGTTCGAAGGTATCTCCAGAATGGCTAAAGGGATCGAACTTAAATTAGGCATACTTGTAGAACATAGTCTGGAAGAACACATAGGCTACTAAGTTCTTTAATAATTATTCGCGGACAGATTCGCGGGCGATAGCTAGTTGTTTTAATATTAAAAAGATACTTTATGATGTTTTCGTATGATCATTTCGTTTTCTTTTTCAATATTTAAGTAGATGATAGATTATTTGTAAGAATGTTTTTAAGGAAATACGAGAGTTTCTCCTCGAATGACATTAATTTCGTCACAAAACTTTCGTATCTATTAACTTTTATTTAGTTCTTTGTTTTTTTTTTACTATAACTTGATCATTATTTTTACCCTTGTTTAATTCCGATCCCTCTGTGGTGTAGTTGGTCTGCGCTGAAATATGTTTATGCTAACAAGTACTGGGCTTACAAAAGCTCTGATTTAGCTTCCAGTAACGAAGCAGCCGACAAAGCATTTAGTTACACTAAAGACTTCTATTTAAACTTTCAACGGAATTTCATTCCCTCGCTTTAATTTAATACTATGAATCCCTTTGTAAATGCACTACGATATTACCATCCCTTTCACACCCTTTGAAAAGAACAAAGATAGCAATATTCACTCGTAATAAACTCATATAAAAATTGTATTTAAAGATATGGATGACAATTATATTCTCAACTTACCCCTTCTGGTTACATGCGTGAGTTTATATTGATATTCGTCATAAAATGGGTGTCAGGACTGTCCCAATATATAAACATGGTTACCCTACTCGCCCGCGGCGCCTCTCGCGGAAGCAAAATGCGCATCACCAGGGGAGCGAAACTTCCCTACGATCTATCACTAAAGGCGACAACGTTACGGAATTTTTCCTACACATATTGGATTCCAACGTTCAAGAATTCAAGTATTTTTATCGTGTAAACTAAAAGGCTTGATTTTGAAGAGACATTAAATTCGTATTCAGACTATGAGTAATCTATTAAGTATTTATTTTTAATGTATAGGCATGTTGTCAAATGTCTTATTTTCTCAATCTTTTCATCTAAAATATAATTTAAAGTCGAATAGTCATCAGCTCACTATACGTCCCCACTGAGGGGCTCGGAGCCTATGACTCAGTGACTAGGGTCTAGTCACTAGACCGTGGTCAACCACCTGGCCCGGTGCGCATAAACTTCACATATTCTTTGAATTTCTTAGTTTTATGTTATTTTTTTAATGATTTGAAACACATTTAACAGTGGTAGAGCGAGCTTTAACATCTTCGCACGAATTGTCCCGTCTCGCCTGGTGAAATACCACGACCACACAGAAGACAGGCGAGAAGTGGAAGCAATTCCTTGTTTCGTCTGATGAGTGTGCGTCCCGGAGGCCTAATTTAGTCCTCTTTCACTTCCCACCCTTTTTCTTATAAGAAAAGGATGGGAAGTGGAAGTAGACTTTCCGGATGAGAGGATGCATGGGAAGGGAAATTTTTTTCTTTCTGTGCATCCTCTCCTCCGTCGATTACAGGTAGGCAACGCATATGCATTTGCGTATGTCTATGGGCAACGGTCACTTAGCGATTTCAGGTGGCCGCTCGCACGTTTGCAACCTTATGATTTATAAAAAAAACATAGTAGTTAACTAAACGCTATAAAATCTAAATTGCCCAAATAAACTGCAAATTTAGTACAAACGACTCAAACACAGCGGCAATTAATCAAAAGCTGTACAATTTCACGCGCATCAGGCGAGTGGATTTAAAAAAAGCGCTTGCGTACGCCATTTCTGTGGTTCAACGACTACCCTCCCGAGTAGGGTGACTATGATATTTCAAATATTCGGTTATACCTATTTACTTTAATTTGCGAGCTATTGCTGTTCACGTTGTTATAAAATGGAAAAAATCTATCTTTTGTATGTATGTAACGAATAAATTCAAAAACTAATCGACCGATTTTAAAAATTCTATCACCATTAGAATGCAAAATTAAAACCTTAAAACATAGACTATATTTATTTTTATTAAATGTTTACATTTTTATTAAAAAACAATCATGTATATAACCATAACATACTGTATTGTCCATAAAAGTTGGATAATATAAAGTTAAGACCAAAGCTCCGATATACGGCGTAAATCGAGCCGCGAAAAAAGTTGGCATAGCAAATTGGAAATCCGTGGTCAGAGATCGACTGAGATGGAAAAGAAGAAGAGAAAAACCTAAAGTTACGTTTTTAAGATTTTACGTTTTTGACTTATTGTTTTCTTTATTTCATATAATTTAAATTTTCTGGTTTTAAATATTAAACCGGGACTGTCCTAATTGATTCTACGTCACCCTACACCGCAGGCGTCCTGCAGGAAAACGACTAGAAAACTCTAATTGATATAAATACGCTACCTGAGAGGGTCTGAGATTAGAGATC